CCGCGGGCTCAGGCAATCCACTCACCTCAGCCTCCCAAAGGCGTGGGATTACTGGCTGAGCCACCGAGTCCGGCTGAAAGATGATGTTTTAAGAACACAGTGTATCCCAAGATTCAGGAGTCTAACCCTCACTGGAGTTACTACTAGATTACCTTACCCTACCCTTTCATATGGTGTCTTTTTTCAGCCCCAATGCAGAGATCACTAGGAGAGAGGTACTTCACTGATGCTTTATTGGCTAACTGGTTAAAGAGCAAAAACAGAAAGAGTTAAGGGAAAAGAAACAAAACCATTGAAGAATTACTCCTATGTTAGGAGCTCTGTATGTTAGCATTTCACTTTAGAACTAAATGCAGCAAAGTATTATCTATACTTTATACTTCTAAAAACCAAATATTGCAAAGGTCACATAACTTATCACTATTACAAAGTCTATAAAGGGTAGACTTTCCAGTTCAGTCTGATTTACTATAACATTCTATGATTTGGGAGGCAGTAGAATTTCAGTCTTTCCAAACCTTTTACCTACTCGATGATAACGTTGTTTGGATCGAGGTCTTTCCCAGTCCCTTGGTTGACAACTTTCATGGAGAGGGATACTTTTATTCTATCATTTTTCATCTGAAAAAGACAAAAGCAAAGTCACCAAAAATTCTAAGGACATCATTTAGACTACAAGTCTAAAATTATCCAAGAATCAAAATTTTCACGATCAACAAATACTGAGCTTCTCTAAAAGTATACTGTGCTAGGAACACTGGGGGTACAAAGAAGCATAATAGGCAGATCCTATGGTAGAAGAATTTTTGCAAATAGTCTTGCTCTCCTTCTTATCCTTCTAAGGAAATTACAGAAATTGTTGTTCAAAATCCAAGGTCTATAGAGGCAAAAAGGTAGAAAACAGAAGCTGTTTCTTCCAGGTAAGTTTAGCATAGTGATTGGTTCCAAGATCCGTAAGCCAAGAATGGTTTGAACATTTCAGAAGACTAGATCTCCTTTTGGACTTGGTCTAGAGCATGAAGACACTTGTTTGTCACATTTGTCTTCTTTTGCTTCCTGTAGCATATAAAGCATTTCTTCAATTCAGGGTCTTTGCATCAGTTACTTTCTGCCTGGAATATTCTTATCCCTACTCTTTACATGACTAGTTCCTTTTCTGTTGGGTCTCAGTTCATATACCATCTCTTCAGAGAGCCCTTTCCTGAAAACTTTATCTTAATCTACCTCCAATAGTGTTTGAACCTACTTATTATAAATTGCAATTATTTGTGTACATTTATTTTTATTTTATTTTTTGAGTCAGCATCTCACTCTGTCACCCAGGTTATAGTGCAGTGGCATGCTTACGGCTACCACAGCCTTGACCTGCTGAACTCAGGCAATGCTTCTGCCTCAACCTTCCAGGTAGCTGGAACCATGCCCAGTTAATTTTTTAAAAAATTATTATTTATTGAAGAGATGAAGCCTTCCTAAATTGTCCAGGTTGGGCTCAAACTCATGGGATCAGGCAATCCTCTCATCTCCATCTCCCAAAGTGCTGCAATTACAGATGTGAGCCACCGCGCCTATCACCATCTTATTTTGTTTTTTTTGGGTTGAGGTCTCACTTTGTCACCCAGGCTGGAGTGCAATGGCACAATCTCCACTGTAGCCTTAATCTCCTAGGCTCAGGTGATCTTCCTGCCTCAACCTCCCGAGTAGTTGAGCCTACAGGTGCATGCCACCATGCCTGGCTAATTTAAAAAAAAATTTTTTTGTAGAGATGAAGACTTGCTATGTTGCCCAGGCTGGTCTTGAATTTGTGGGCTCAAGCAATTCTCCCGCCTCAGGATCCCAAAGTGCTGGGATTACAGCTGTGAGCCACTGTACCCAGCTTTTGTTTATTTTTTAAAATGTGCTTCCAGGCCAGACTTGGTAGTTCAGCCTGTAATTCCAGCACTTTGGGAGGCCTAGGCAAGTGGATTGCCTGAGCCCACAGGTTTGAAACCAGCCTGGGCAACTTGGTGAGACCTCGTCTCTACAATAAATAAAAAAAATTAGCTGGGCATGATAGCGCACGCCTGTAGTTCTGGCTACTTGGAAGACTGAGGTGGAAGGATCGCCAGAGCCCAACCTGGGTGACGGAGTGAGACTGCAACTCAAAAAAAAAAAAAAAAATGTTTCCTCAGCTGGGTGCAGCATCTCACACCTGTAATTCCAGCACTTTGGGTGGCCAAGGTAAGAAGATTGCCTGAACCCAGGGGTTCGAGATCAGCCAGGGCAACTTGGTGAGACCTTGTCTCCACAATTAAAAAAAAAAACAATTACAGCCAGGTGCAGTGGCTCATGCCTATAATTCCAGCATTTTGGGAGGCCAAGGTGAGAGGACTGCCTGAGCACATGGGTTCGGGACCTGCCTGGGCAACCTGGCAAGACCTCATCTCTACAATAAATAAAAAAATTAGCCAGGTGTGGTGGTGTGTGCCTATAGTTCCAGCTACTTGGAAGGCTGAGGCTGAAGAATCACCTGAGCCCAGCAGGTTGAGGCTACAATACCCATGAGCATGCCACTGCCCTTCAACCTGGGCAACAGAGTGAGACTCCAAGTCAAAAAAAAAAATTTTAGTTTTCTCTACTTACATTCTACATAAGCTCCATAATAGCTGGTATCATTTATGTTTGGTTCTCTCCTGTATTCCACAAACCTAGCACATATTAAACTCTTAAATATTGTCAAATAATAGCTCCTTCAGGCCTATCTCCCTGCCATTCTCTGGTAGAAAAGCAGGACTCAGCGTATGTTCATACTTCTCCTGTGGTCTGCCCACACCTACAGCCCTTATACTCTCAAGTGAGTTGCTATTAACAGAGTCCTCCAGATCTCTTTCCCTTCCCACACATTGCATGATGCCAGATATTAGGAAAAATGACGTAAACTCTGTGTCTTTTGTTTTGTCCGAATTAAAGTGTACTTGGCAAGTATTCCTTGAAGTTTATAACAAAGATTTGTCCCAGAGATCAAGTTTCCTTCTCCCTTTTTGGTTCTCTCCTTTTATTCCTCCTGCCCACCATATGAGTAATCTTCAGGGAGGAAAGTTTTAAAAGCATGCACCTATTGCACCACTTTTTTTTTCTTTTGAGTCAGAGTCTCACTGTCGCCCAGGCTGGAGTACAGTGGCACTCTCACAGCCACCCCAGCATCGACCCCGCTGGGCTCTGGCGATCCTTTCACCTTCATGTTCCAAGTAGTCTGAACTACAGGTGCGCTCTACCACACCCAGCTGTTTTTTATTTTTTATATTGTAGAGACGAGGTCTCAACAAGTTGCCCAGGCTAGTCTTGAACTCCTGGGCTCAGGCAATCCTCTTACCTCGGTCTCCCAAAGTGCTGGGATTATAGGCTTGAGCCACTACACCCGGAACACCACACTTTTATATTTCACACTATTCCTTCTGAGTTTGCAGGGTAGACTGAGAGAAGGTTTAAATTCAGGACAGAACACAGCAACAGAAAACCAAACACCATATTTTCACACTTACAAGTGGGACCTAAGCTAAGGGATTCACAAAATCATATAAAAAGCTATAATGGACACTGAAGACTCAGAAGGGGGAGGGTAGGAAGAGGTGGCGGGATGAAGTATTATCTACTAGGTACAATGTGCACAGGTGGGGGTGGTGGGTACACTTGAAGCCCACACTTCTTTGCTACTATACAATGCATCCATGTAACCAAAAACTTTGTATCCCCTAAATCTATTGAAATAAAAAGAAAAAAAGCAAAATGCATATAAATGAATTAAAATAAAAAAAATTCAGGACAGATTCTAATGACAGGATTTAAAAATAAAATTATCAGCCACAATTAACAACATTTATTTATATACTCACTATCATAAAATACCAAGAAAATTCCAGCTCTTCCTAATCTTTCTAGCCACATGAAAGCTAGACAGAACTTTACCTCTCGGCCAATAAGCTTCACCCACACTTTGTCTCCGACATCTACTATCTCAGAGGGCTTATCCACCCGACAGGATGACATATGAGTTCGATGGACCAGACCTGTGCACAAGAAGGAGAAATAATATAAAGCAGAGAGCATGTCTGATATTTATATTCTAAATGACCAGATAAGCAGAAGATAAGAGTTGAGGGATGTAAGGGGAAAACATTTGTTCACTCAGAATTGGAAATTAAAACAATTTGTGACTTTTTTTTGAGTCGGAGTCTCACTTTGTCACCCAGTCTAGAGTACATTGGCATGATCATGGCTCATCTCAGCCTCGACCTCCTGGGCTTAGACAATCCTTCTGCTTCACAGCCTCCCTCCAGAGTAGCTGGACTACAGACACACACCACTATGCTCAGTTAATTTTTAAAACTTATTTTGTGACCGGGCTCGGTGGCTCAGCCTGTAATTCCAGTGCTTTGGGAGGCCAAGGTGAGTGGATTGCCTGATCCCGCGAGTTTGAGACCTGCCTGGGCAACTTGGTGAGACCTCATCTCTACAATAAATCAAAAATTAGCCAGGCATGGTAGCACGCACCTGTAGTTCCAGCTACTTGGAAGGCTGAGGCGGAAGGATCGTCGGAGCCCAGCAGGTTGAGGCTGCGGTAGCTGGGAGCATGCCACTGCACGCCAGTCTGGGCGACAGAGTGAGATTCCAACTCAAAAAAAAAAAAAACTTTTTTGTGATGACGAGGTCTTGCTATGTTGCCTGGACTAGTTTCAAACTCTAGGCTGAAGCAATCCTCCCATCTCTGCTTCCTGCAACTGAGATGGCTTTTTATACCCAAGCAACCAAAAAACAGCCTTAAAATAATGCTAAATGTTAGTCAAGATGTGATAAAATAACCACAGTCATATAATACTAATAGAAATACGACTCAGTAAAACTTTTTTCTTTTTAAGTAGGAGTCTCACTTTGTCACCCCAGGCTTGAGTGCAGTGACATGCTCACAGCTACCGCAGCCTCAACCTGCTGGGCTCAGGTGATCCTTCCACCTCAGTCTTCCAAGTAGCTGGAACCACAGGTGCGCACAACCATGCTCAGCTAATTTTTTTATTTGTTGTAGAGATAAGTTCTTGCCAAGTTGTCCAGATTGGTCTCTAACCCCTGGACTCAGGCAATCCTCACTTCTGCCTCCTAAAGTGCTGGAATTACAGGCATGAGCCACTGCACCCAGTCAATTTGGTAAATTATTTAAAAGCAAAGACATAAATATATTTATTCCACCGGGTGCAGTGACTCATGCCTATAATCCCAACACTTTGGGAAGTGACTACCTGAGCCCACAGGTTTGAGATGAGCCTGGACAACATGGCAAGACCTTGTGTCTACAATAAATTAAAAAAAAAAAATTAGCTGGGTGCGAGAGCCCATGCCTGTGGTTCTAGCTACTTGGAAGGCTGAGGTAGAAGGATCACTTGAGTGCATTCGAGGCTGAGGTGGCTGTGAAAGTGCTACTGCACTACAGCCTGGGCAACAGTGAGACTCCGACTCAAAAACAAAACCTGTATTTATTCCTTTTTATAAGGACAAAGTCACACTCTGACACCCAAGATGGAGTGTAGTAGCATGATCACAGCTCTTAGCAACCTTGAACTCCTGGGCTCAACAATCCTCCTGCCTCAGTCTCCCAAATAGCTAGGACTGCAGGCATGCACTACTATGCTCATCTATTTTTCTTTTATTTTTTGTAGAGATGAGGCTTCACTGTATTTTCCTGGCTGGTCTGAAACTCCTGGTTTCAAGTGATCCTTCTGCCTTGCCCTTCCTAAGTGTGAGGATTATAGGTGTGAGCCCAGATAGATGTTTAAACCTTTGATGCAAAAATATCATCAATGAAAGTTTTTCCAAAAGAAAAACTCAACAGAGGCAAAAACATAGGAACATAAAGTACTTGCAGTATTATCACCTACAAAGACTAGGAAATACATAAGAATTATGGAACAATCTAAAAAACCAATAACTGGAAAACAGCATGGCAAACTATTGTAAGCAATCACTTAAATTAGCTACAGAAAATAATGACATGTTAAGTGAAGAAAGTAAATATAAACAAGGTGCCATTTTAAATCTATTAAATTAGCAAAATAATAATACGCAATGTAGTGAAAGTATGGTAAAATAAGAAATATTATCAAGGCTAGAATAAACTTTTGGAAATTCTTTTGCAAAGGCTATTAAGGATGATAATGGCCAGGTACAGTGGCTCATGCCAGTAATTCCAGCATTTTGGGAGGCCAAGGCAGGAGGATCACTTGAACCCAGGAGTTCAAGACCAGCCTGGGCAACACAACAAGACCTAATCTCTATAAAAAAGAAAATTAGGCCAGGCATAGTGGCTCATACCTGTAATCCTAGCACTCTGGGTGGCTGAAGCAAGAGGACTACTTGAAGCCAGGAGTTCAAGACCAGGTTAGGCAACATAGTGAGACCTTGTCTCTAATAAAATAAATAATAAAAAGTTTTTAAAAAAATTAGCTGGGCATGGTGACACAAGCCTATAGTTCCAGTTACTCAGGAGGCTGAGGCAAGAGGATGGCCTGAGCTCAGGAGTTTAAGGTTGAAGTGAGCCATGATTACCCACTACACTCCAGCCTGAGTGACAGAGTGAGACCCCAACTCAAATCCTCCAAAAAAACCCCACAAAAGTAATACTTATCAAATATTTTGTATTTAGTAAAAATAATTGAAAATTAAATAATTTAATTAACATTTAAAAAGAACATTCATAATAGACATACTTTTCCTGGCTGTCCAAGCTCCTTTCCTTGGAAGAACCACCTTCCTTACATTCTAAAATAATCTGGTCAGTCCATGTGATTTGGTTGGAGAGACCTAACCCCAACTGCAGGCACATGACACAGGCTTAGTCAATCAAGGTACTTCATCCCTCTGGCCACAGTATAACTGATTGGTTCAGGGACAGACACAAGAAACCAGCTAAATCAATCATCTTTTTCAAGACATATGAAGATTATAAACTGTAAAAAAATGCCAGGGGGGAGGGGGATGACAACACACATAACATCAAAAAGGGTACCTGATCTCACACCAGGCAAAGTGGGGACCAAAGGGAGGCCCAAACTTTACCTGTACTATGCCCACTTATCTATCTAATCCTGAATTGTACCCCACATCTTTAAAATAAAATATATATTTTTAATTGCCAATATCCAATTTTACCACCAGATGGCAAGAGTCAGCCAGAGAGAAGCAAAGAAGGGCACTGGTAAACAAGAGATAAAGTCTGAGGGTGTAATCTTAGCACCTAATGCAGCCAAGACTAAAGCTAGATTTATCCTGGAAGCCTCCACCAAGATTAGCCAAGATGTTTCTCAACTGTGTTTCTGCTCCTTACAACCAAGAGTTCTACCTAATAATTAATTTGATCCCTTATCACTTTTGGAAATCTGTCCTACAAAAATAATCTTATGTATAGGAAAAGCTATAGGCTTCATGAAAAGTGATCTATATGAAAACATTTTTAAGACAGGAAAATTTAGAAACAACCTAATATCCAACAAAAGGGTAACGATTAAGTCGATTATGGTTTAGCCACTTGATCCATACAAAAAAAGATGATGTAAAAGCATGCCAATAATTCATTTCTTAGCAAATATTTTAGTGCCTATTATGTGTCAAGCGCTGGAGGCATCTAACATTTTCCCATGCTAAATAACAACGCATGATGTAAAATTATACAGTATGATTACATATGCTTAAAAGTATTTTTAAACATTTTTTAAAGACCTAAAATGCTAACAATGACTATATTTTAGTATGAAAGGTTAATGTTTTCATTTATTTTTAAATGTTTTCATAATTGAGAAGATTACTTCTATTTTGGAGAGAAAATACAAATAATTATTTTGAATGATGACAAACCAGTTATCATGTCCACAATAACTGCCCTCCCTAAAGTTGTCTGGGAAATGTATTCATCTTTATTCTAATTCTCTCTCTCTCTCTCTCTCTCTCTCTCTCTCTCTCTCTCTTTCACAAACATACATGTGTATGTGCTTCTCGTGGGTGCCTGCACATGGCTGAAACTCAAAGCATCTCTCCTTTCTGTTTGGTGCCCCTACTGGAAGCCATTGTTTTCTCTATCCACGGTCATCGTGTCTCTCACACCAATGTCAGTTGAATCTGGAGGTCGATAACCAACCTATCTAAACAACTCTGGAGCCCCCCCAAAAAAATTTTTTTTTAAAGTCAGGATCTCACTCTTGTCACCCAGGCTGGAGTGCAGTAGCACAATCTTGGCTCATCACAGTCTCCATCTCCTGCGCTCAAGTGATCCTTCACCTCAGCCTCCCGAGCGAGTAGTTGGGACTACAGATAGCTATTTTTAAAATTTTTTGTAGAGATAAGGTCTTGCTATGTTGCCTAGGCTGGTCTCGAACTCCTGGGCCAAGCAATCCTCCTGCCTCAGTCTCCCAAAGTGCTGGGATTACAGGTGTGCATTGCACCTGGCCCAAAATATTTTATGTACATAAGATATATTTTCAATTTTAGATCAACACATTGGGTAAAATTCATACAGCTAGGACGTTTCCCCCGCCCCCCATGATGGTATAATGAGCTGACTAACCTACATGGAAAATCTAAAGAGCAAATTCAGATCCCATGAAGAAAAGGGAAACCTTTCACCTTGATAGTTTTTGGGCTGTAAGTGTTCTCTACTGGTTAAAATTCATCTCTTTTCTTTATTGCTAATGAAAGTTATTATGGAAATTAATGTTGAACCTAATATACAAGAGAGAACATTATTTTTCTTCCCTAAAACTAGATCTATTTATTGGAGTACCACAAACAAAGAAATAATGTCCTCCTCTCACCTGATCCCAAGGTGTAATTTTTGGTATAAGCACCTCTCTCCTGGATAATATGACATTTCTAGAAACATTAATAGAGAAAAATTGGAAACAACTTAAAATATGTGGCGCATCTGAATAGAATAAACCTGTTAAATGTTTACAGAAAGTATCTTAAAGATGGGGAAATGTTTAAGGTTCATTAAATGTGAAGAGCTACAAATTTTAAATACAGGGTG